TCGCTCAGTCAGAGGGGAACCCTGCGAGTCCTTGTGGCCAGTGAGACGCCTCTTGAAGCGCTGTACGCGGTTCGGGTCGTTGACTGCGTGCCCGCCATCTTCCCGATCGCAGAGCAATCTCAGTCAATTGGCTCATACCAAGCAAAGTGGTACACTTTTACACTCCAGACAATGACACCAATTGGCGGCAATACCAACTGCACCATCTTGCTGGTCAATTCCAACAGCGACCAGCTGGACAAAAAGTTTGTGTCCTTCCGCACCAACAGCACCACCATCTACAAGGGAAACCAAGGCGGCAGCGAGCCTGGGGATGATGATGACCGCGGCAACGATCCAAGCTCTGGCCTTAGTTTGAACTTTTTGGGCGACGCCGCAAAATGGCTCGCGGATGCGATCGCCAGTGGGTACGGCGTGGTCTTGATCATGGGATTGAGTGCGATTGTCTTGGCCATCCTGAGAGGATGCGCTCGGTGCTGCTGCAAGCTTGGCGTCAGCGAAAAGCACAAAGACCGCTCTGCCTGCGTCAACTTTTTCCACGATCTCTTGCAAATATGCCTGCTACCAATCTACCTCATCAAGTACATTATTGACATTTTCCGCAAGCCCCCGCCGCCCGATCAGGATGACATGAACACAAGACGCTTTGACGAACGTTCGGCACCACGGGCAAGCTTTGATGAAGAAGGTCGCTGGTCGCAGCGGTTGTCGACGAGTCCTCAAGACTCCCCGAGCTCGCACAGCACTACCGGCCTGATGGGGCCTTCCCGCGGTCCCATGACGGAGAGTGCATCTCGACGCCGCCTTCAGTTTGATTCTGCCCGCAACTCGGATGCCTCAGCCACCTCATCGACTTCGCGTTCTGCAATGATTGGTCACACGGTCTTGGCGACATCGCGGAAAGTAGGCCGCACTTTGTGGAATGCCGTCAGAGCCGGCAGTTCGATGCTGCGAGCGCGACTCGCGCGAGATGCTGCAGTTGGCTCTGAGGCATCCCAGGCGCCTACATGGACTGAGATGGAGCAAACACGACGCGCGCCCCTGGAGCCCACAGGAGCGTCTGACGTCAGTAGACCGCGACAGACCATGCCCGAGCATGCCACTGCAAATCAGAATCGAGCGGTCAGTAGCCATCGGCCGCGCACCACGCTGTCGCGCGCTGAACTGCAAATACTCGCTCGTTCGAATCGGCCAGTGTACTTTAACTTTAGACGGGTGCGTCTTCAAGAGATTGGCAGTCAGATTTTTGTAAGGCTTGCTAGGATGGAAGGGTGGTGACGGTGACCAAGATGGTCTGTGAGGAGAGTGATTGATGAAGATGCGCTCAACTGTCCGTTTGCACAACAGAACCCAGGTCCCCAGTTCAGCGTCCTAGGTCGCATGAGCGTGCTGACTTACCCTGATAGTCCTGACGAGTACATTTTCCATTTAGACTCGCACACGTTCCAGGTAGGCGGGAAATAGCATTGACAAAATTCAGCGTACTTGGCCTCGAGCTTAAGGTTGCTGGATGTACTTGTGCGCATGTAGACCATGGCGTGCAACGAGCAACAACAGATGGAGGAACTGCATCCGGCCCGCCGCCTTGACGAAGCGTTCTTCACTCAAGGCCTCACCCTACAGCAAGCCGAACGGCTGTTATCAACGCATCCTCAATTCCCGTGCATTAATCCTCCAGGGGATTCCGAGTAGCCGGCCCAGTGTCATCGAGATGTTTTCGGGGAAAACACAACAACAACATAAACGAAACTTCTCCCAAATAAACACGCCATAAATCCATCAAGCTTGCTTTTAGTGTTAACATGAACAAAGAAGACCAACCAAAATTCACAGTCTTGTAAATGCAAAAACAACCGACCGCCAAACAAGGCTTCAAAATCGCGAAGCCATGCGCCCAGCAACAGAGCGAAGCTGGCCATAGACCTTGCCAGGTGGGCTACCTGCTCGTGATGCAAAACAGACAAGGGGGGGGGGCACAAGGTGGTCAGGGGACTGGACAGGGATCGCCGTCCAAAGCCAAACAGCCGCCGCCAAATAACGCGCTTACCAAGAATCAAACTGACGATGGCGTCGCGAGAAACCTTAATGTTTTGGAAGGAACCGAGAATATGAATTTTGCTGGTCGTTGCATCACATGGGGAGAAATACACACGAAGGGAAGATGGAACAGTAAGCGCACGGACAAACGGAAATGCCTCTCGAGAACACGAATATCCATACCTGTCTGCAACAACGATGCGGGTCTTTGTGACGTTCTCGATTGTGAATTTGGTTTTGCCACCAGAGCCTGCAATACGGCCGATGGCACGAGACATGTGTTCACCATGCAATGGCTTGACTGTCGTTTGGAATCAAGGAGAAAGTCAATGCCATTTTTTGTTTTCTCAGAGCACAATGCAGAAGTGCAGAGCCCAAACTCCATTTGTACTGACCATCAAGAACCTCGAACGTGTCAATATACAGGTTATCCAAGCGCAACAATGCAATCGCATCCTACGACGAGAAGAAAAAAAAGAAGAGTGAATCAGTGTTCACATCCTCTCCCCGATGCATTGACCATACTCAAACAACCCAACACGACCAAACAGTCATCCTCCCAACTTACAGCGATATCAAAGCCCAGCATGAATGCGCGGACAAAATCAGCTCCACGCTGAAGGGCAGAAGGGTCTTCCGTTTGCGGTGACGTCTACATAACGAGACCAAACAGGAAACACAGCGAGAAGGAAATGCACAAAAACACACGCACACACACATGATGTTTTCGTCAGCATGGTTGTTCGTTCAGACAGGGAAACGGGTTTGCAATTCAAGACGTTTCTTGGAATGTCAGACCTTCAATTCCACGGCGCGTGTCTTCATGTTCATGCGGATTTGCAGCTTCATGTGCTGGACCAAGGGCGTGTAGATCTTGAGCCAGTTTTCGCGCAGCGGCGTGTATCGGTGCGCGGGCACCAGCACCTTGCGGAATCCGTCCTTGCCATTCTATCAAAGCAAAAGCGACCCCAGCAATACCAAAATCAGGAGATGAGCAATCTCGAGCCGATAGAGCATTCATTGTTTAACACAAAGCTGGAGAATGGGCGAAATGAGGCTGCGAGCGCTATGACTAAACCGAGCGCTGAGGCTCATTCAACCCGCTGAGCTTTTCCCCTTCCTCATTTGAAATCAACCAAGAGAGAGAGACAGTATCACTTGTTCAAAAGTGCTAATGTTTGACTGAGCCTTTGGCTGGAACACATTGCCCCTTCATGTTTGACTGAGCTTGCGTTGCAAAAACCACACGTGGATTCGTCATCCATGTGAATGACTGACTTACGCCTGCGTCCTTGGCCGAGAGCGGCGCAAACTGCGGCCGTGACTCTGCAGCAGCAATCTCAGCCGAGCTCAGCGGCGCAGCGCCAGCGGCGGATGAGGAGGAGCGGGCGTAGTGGTCGGCCAGAGCCACGCGTTGGACTTCGGACGCGTCGAACGTGTCCATTGCGTCCTCGTCCGCCTCGCCAGCGTCCTCTTGGTCTTCGTCTTCGTCTTCGTCTTCATCGCCGTCGTCCATTTGCTCGGACTCGTCGAAGCCGGTCGCGGTGAGCGCCTGCTCGACCATGGCGTCGTCCTGCTCGTCGGACTCGGCTTGCTGCGCTGCTTTGGCTTGCTTTCGCTTCTGAGCAATCTTGGACATGCTTTGTGGAGGTCAAAAAGAAAAACAAAATAGAGTGAATAGAATGAAGAAACAAGCAAAGAGAGAGAGAGAGAGAGAAAAAAACACAACAAAATCAACATGGATGTGGATGCTTGGATTGAATCGCGGGTTTGTTATGAATTCTGAGCATTTTTGGTTTTGTTTTTGAACATTGCATGATGCAGCTAATGTTGGAACGGCAAACCCACGATAGCCAATCTGCTTGAAACGGGGAACACAATAAATCCAATGCAAGGTTCAACTCAACGACAATGAACTTTGTGTTTGAGCCAGTTTTTTTATTTTATTTCTGTTTGAGCTTCTTTCAAAATGCTGTCGTATAAGAGTATGAATCGGAGACAGCGCGAGTTGTATGACAGAGTCAAGAATGCAACCAAATGCCTCGCGTAAGAGAAAGTCAAGTATTGGAATATCACAGTGTGATATTGCGTGTGTACTGACGAAAATGATCAGTCTGCGCTGGACGCAGATTGGCGTTGCAGAGGCACAGGCGATTGCCGAAGCACTCAAAGAGAACACGACGCTGACTTGGCTCGAGTATGTCACTTGTACTGATGCATTGGAAATCGGGTCATCCAGTGGAGGATATTCAGAATGCTCGCTGATGGAGGAGACGGACAGTCTGCAAAGGAATCAGATTGGCGACGCTGGAGCGCAAGTGATTGCTGAGGTACTCAAGGTGAACACGACGCTGACTTGGCTCAGGTAAAGCATCTCCCTTGACTGTTGTATGAGCGTGAGTGATTCTGTAGAGGGCGTGAAGAGTGCTCACTGATGGAGGGGATGAACAGGCTGAGTGACAATCAGATTGGTGACATTGGCGCGCAGGCAATTGCTGAGACACTCAAAGTGAACTCGACAGTGACTGATGTCGAGTTGAGTCATCTTACGAGTGCTTGTATTGAGGCATGAAAGTGGGCGATTTAGCAAAGACATGCAGTGTGCTCACTGATGAAGGGGACGGACAGTTTGAATTCGAGTCTGATCGGCGATGCTGGAGCGCAAGCGATTGCTGAAGCACTCAAAGTGAACAAGACGTTGACTGCGCTCCAGTAAGGCATCTCAATGTGACTGAAGCGTCCACGAGTGGGTCATCCAGTTGAGGTTATTCAGAATGCTCACTGATGGAGGAGACGGACAGGCTGCAACTGAATCGGATTGACCTCGCTGGAGCGCGGGCGATTGCCGAAGCACTCAAAGTGAACACGACAGTCACTCGGCTCTAGTAAGGCATCTCAATGTGACTGTTGCATGTGAGTGGGTGAATCCGTCGAGGGCGTGAAGAGTTCTCACTGATGCAGAGGACGGACAGTTTGAATTCGAGTCTGACCGGCGATGCTGGAGTGCAGGCGATTGCTGAGGCGCTCAGAGTGAACAAGACGCTGTCTTGTCTCAAGTCAGTCATTTCGCATCTACTGGTGCATGAGCGTGAGTGATTCCGTAGAGTGACAAGTGCTCACTGATGGAGGAGATGAACAGTCTGGATTTCAATCAGATTGGCGACGGCGGAGCCTGGGCGATTGCTGAAGCACTCAAAGTGAACACAGCGCTGACTGCGCTCTTGTAAGACACCGCACTTTCCTGATGCATGTGAGTGGGTGATGCAACAGAGGAAATTCAGAGTGCTCGCTTATGGAGAGGATGGACAGGATGGAGCTCAATCAGTTAGGCGATGCCGGAGCTCAGGCGATTGCTGAGGCACTCAAGGTGAACACGACGCTGACTTCCCTCAGGTACAGCATCTCCGTTTGACTGGTCCTTGAGAGTGGAATGCTCGCTGATGGAGAGGATGGACAGACTGGAGTTCAATCAGATCGGCGATGCTGGAGCGTGCGCGATTGCTGCGGCACTCAAGGCGAACAAGACGGTGACGCTACTCGAGTAAGTTACTGTGCGCGTTGCTTGTCTCGCGCATTGAGCCTGGGTCATTGCTACGTTGTCATCTTGCTCACCCAATGTTTTGACAGTCTGACGTCTAATTGCATTGGCAATCTTGGTTCTCAAGCGATCGATGCGGCACGCAAACGCAACTGCGGTTGTGAGGTTCTGTAAGTCTGTTCTTGCCAATAACAGATGTTGATGCTCAGACAATGTTCCTCCCACCGATGGAGTGGTCACTGATTGATCATGCCTCGCTTGTTCGTTTCACAGCCTCCGCGATCAGATCAACCCTCTTGCGTTTTCCTTACTTCCACGATTGGCGAGTGCTGAAGACTTCCAAGAAGTGTTCGGCGTGCTGACCAGCGGGTTGGAGCTGCAGAACCAGCCCCCATCTCTTCCAGCGCTACCAACCGAGATTGCCGAGCTCATTATGGACAAGGCGCATTACTGGCAAGGCGTGCAGAAGACCTATCGATGGTGGTTTGACGAGACGACTAGTTCTCTCAAAGTCACACTGCCTCAAGGAGATTCAATCCGTGTGAAAGCAATTCAAGTTCTTCGTGACTGGAAGCGTCCCAATAACATCGGTGACTGTGCCTTCGATTTGACTGTCCGAGATGAAAAAGGTGCTGTTCAGTACGAATGTGCTGTGCACCCGACTTTCGTCAATCGGAACCTTGCACTTGCGACAATCGGGTCAGCGAGTCATCCCATCGTCCGACAAATGCGCGAGGGTTGGCAAGTTCAAGTTCAACCCAGCACGTTTGCCCACGAGTTGCTATTTGAATCGCTTTATGTCGGATATGTCGACCGACAGTGATCACAAAGCGCTCATTTGACGAAAACATTTAACGTTCGCTCAGCAGTTTCGAAAGGCAATACCTTGCTGGTCGGCCACCAGTCCACCTCGGCCTTTCATTCCAAAAAGATGAAAAGTACACTACTGTAGCTCATCTACCACTTGTTCTTCACTTTGTTCGAATTCGTGGACACGTTCGAACGAGCATTCTGTACTTGCTCCTAAAAATCCAATGTTTGGTCGAGTCTCCCGCTCCGTTTTGTTCACCGACTGAGCATGACTGCAGAGCCGATTTACAAAGTGCCGAGACAATAATAGGTTGATCTGAGAGTGATGTCGCTCTTGGGAGAGAAGAGGGACACAGATACAGATACACATCGATCCATCACAAATTCAGCATGTCAAGGAATTTCTAGCGTGTAGTAGCTTAGCGCGAGTCTATTTTCGGTTTGGGCCAAGGCTTGGCTCGAGCAGAATTGACACAATAACCCATTACTTGGATCTTCGTGGAACGATCTCTGATCATAACAGATCTTGGCACTCAAACCAACCGAAGCAGAGCGCCTGAGCGTCAGCGAGCTTGTCGTGCTTGCGCTGGAGTGTCTTGACGATGCTGCTGACGATCGCCCGTCCTTTGGAACCCTCGTTGTTGCATTGGATCCTTGATGACAATCAGGAATTGGCGTGTATTGATGTTGCAGTGCTGTATCTTGTTGCAGCATGAAGATTTGAATGTTATGCATGTTTACTTGTTCATTCAACTCCACTTGGACACGTCTTTCAGCACACTGAAAGGATGCTCATTCACTTCATGTTTCGGCACCAGGCCGTAACAGTCACTTCGTGGTTTGTTCGGTTTCCACAGAAGAAGACAACTATTTTTTTCCACTGTTTGAAACAACAACATGACAATCGAATTCGACGCAAACATTGCTGGGGGAGGCAGAAATTTGTCATCGTTCGGCCGTTTCGTTGTAATTGACCGCACCCTCGATTGGCTCGGTCATTTGCACAAACCACGCCGGAGGACTGAGAGGCACGCGCACTAGATCGAGATCGAAAAGTTCAATGAATTGCTCGTTCGTGTACCGACTCTTGGAGCCAGCATATAACCGATACTGAGCGGCCGCCGAACGATAAGCAGCCCAAATCAATCAAAACACACGCACGCACGCACGCACGCACGCACACGCACACAGGAGACATCAACCCGTCAGACCAAAGCGAATCAATCAGAACACGCACAACTCACCTCGTTTAAAATTGATGTCAGATTCCAGTTCTGGAGTCGTCTTAGACAGCCCACGATCGTTCCTGTCTGATGAATGCCAGAGCTGCATCCCGTCATGCCGTGGTGTTGATATTGGTGTGCATACAATGCATGGTTGACTGAGACATACAAAATTTCACCAAAAAAAAAAAAAAGTCCTCAAACGAGCCCCTTCGCCCTTTGCATTGACTATAAAGACTTCACCACAACCTCACCTGCACATGAGCATGACTGGGTGTGTTGTGACGTCGAGCGTGATCTCGAGCGCTTCCTTGACGAGCTCGTCGCTGACTGGCTTCCACGACGACGCGTCCAGCTTCCACGCGCTCAGTCCGAGATGGATCTGCATTATCACAAACAAAGCGAGTGTCATTCACACACACACACACACACACACACACACGCAGGACGGATGAGCGACGACGGACGGCACGCTGGTTGCTGGTGGGGGTCGAGTGCTCAGTGCTTTTACGACGTTGACGCTGTTGTCCTCGCAAAAGTCAGCGATCG